TGCCAATCTAGTAGCACGTTTAAACACACATAGTCTGGGCACTAGGGAAAAACTCACCACAGAAGTTAACATGAAAATACTTGTAGAAAAAAATTAGGGAAGCCACGTCACGTCGATGAAAAAGTGACTGAAGTTGAGATGCCAAATCAAGATCGATTACATTGTAGATTCTTCTTTGGATTTTGTCAAGAACTTCGAGATGAATAGCAAGAACAACAGACCAGATATGGAAGCAATATTCAAGGCATAGACGAATGGTAGATTTGTAAATGTGTAAGATGGACTCTGATGAGAAAAACTTTCTGGCACGACACAGTGACAACATTCCTTGCAGCAAATGTAGTTATTAATTTGATGTAAGCATTTCACTTCAAGTGCAATGTGTTGCTCTCCATGAGTCTAGTATCAGCCATACTGATGGCGGACAGGAAAGTTTCTCTATGGTGGTTAAATGAGAGCAGTTTCGTTTTTGAGGCATTAAAATTTATGAGCATTTTCCTTCCCCAGGTAACCACAGATTGGAGGTCATTTTAAACAGCAACGGCCAGGTTTTGTCAGCTCTGATGGATTTGTTATTGAGACAAGAGTAAATGGCAGTGTCATCAGCTAAATGACGACTTGGGAACTGATGATATCAGGAAGATCATTGATGAAGATCAGAAACAGCACAGGACCCAGGATAGAATCTTTACAACATTCACTCATCATGATGAATGTTGTAAAATGGAGACATTCACTTTTTTTTTTGTTGAATGTTGCATTGGTTAAAAAAAAAAAAAAAAAATGCAGTTCCTTTCCCACCATTTTCTTTGCCATGATAATTAGGTGAACATGGCAGTTGTTGCCTCTTTTTATTATGCAAGATCAAATAGCAGCAATCTAGATTTAACAAAAATAATTAGATATAAATGTTCTTTTTAAGAAAATATTGACATAATTAAAACATTGTCTAGTTTAATTAGATTTAATTTGTAAAAAAAAAAAAAAAAAAAAAAATGATAAATAATGAAATTTGCAAAAGTAAAAACAGAACATGCTTGAAGTAATCTTAATAATAAATATCCTCAGCACTTTCAATGCACTTAAACTGCTTTTCATCATTTTCACAAAGTCAGTAATTTTGCAATAAAAAGTGAAACTTTCTTTTTTGCAAGATCTCGGAAACTGTAAGATTTTAAAGATTTGTAGAATGATACATTTTTACAGTGCTATTTATATACCAAAAGGAATCAATACTTTTATTGTAATAATGCCAAAAAACTACCAAGTGACCCCAAAAAGTAATAGTAAGAACTTTATTCACTTGCTCCTTACTACATCTATGCATTCTTTATAAAAGCAGCAGAAACCCACAGATGTCCATTTGGTAACAAGAAAGGTGGCACTTCATTTGAACTAAAGAAAATTCTCAATATGTATACAGTATGAATTATCTTTATACACTTAAAAAACACACTTATAACTCAATCTTTTGCTGTTTTTGATTTTTAAAGCTTTTTCTTTTTGAACTGTGTTTTAATATTGTTTAGTCAACTCTTTAAAAGGAGACACTTGATTCCTGAAAAGACTTGTAGAAAAGAAACTTATTTTTACATTGTGTATACTTATTACATATATTATTTTATTTTTTAGTCTTACATCACATTTTTCCTTGCAATATTATAACTTTTGTAAATTTTTTTCACTGAATCACCATGCTTATGTATTTTCTAGGTGCAACTGTTTAAGTTTGCATAATTTCATCAAAACTTGTTTTACTAATGTATGTAATCACTTTTATATTGCTTCAACTCTTGTTATAAAAATTTAATCTAGATTCACCAACAGAAGTTTTGAACTTCAATAGTTTCTTTACTGACTCACTTTCCAACCTAAGCCATTATTGCTTTTGTTCTGAGAAAATTTCCATTAAAATCCATAAGGAACTGAGGACGACTGGTTAAAAGGTTTCATAGCTTTTTGATATTGACCAGTTTAGTTGAACCCCCCCCTTATCCATGTCAATTGTTGTCACATGTTGCTGTCAAGACCTAGAAATATGGTTGACCTGGAAGAGGATCAACTTGTTTATACAGATACTGATGAACTGTGAATCACACTAATGCATAATAACCCAAATAATTTGTTATTCAAACAATGATCCTGCAACACACAGAACATAGAAATGTGTAATTGATAAAGAGAAAAATATTGTTGTACAAGGAGTTCAATTCTTTCATGTTGTTACAATATTTCTGCTGATCCATTGTTTAGGTATCAAACACAGAAAAAAAGAAAAAGAAAAAAAAATTAATTTTTGACAAAGGTTGAAGAATGAATTGGCTTGAACTTTATAGTAATGACATCAAGAACACACACAAAAAAAAAAATACGAGTTCAACAGCACAAGCAAGTTTTTAATGTTAATGATTTTTTTTCAGTTATAGTCAGATAAATTGTCTGTAACTTTAAGAAAAGTCATTACAATGAAAGCTATTGTTGAGGAAAAAAAAATATTTACTGAAATAAGAATTATCCTTTTTAAATTTATGAGTTATTTATTTTTTAAATAAAACAAATTCAAGTTTTTCAAAATACAAGATGAATAAAAGTAAGCAAAACTTTTTTCTGCAAATCAAATATAAACCAAAACTAGGAAAGAATTTTGAGGAGTGCAGTATTTGTTCTTGTTATTCTGTATTTGTATGTAGTTTTAGGGTAATTCAATTTTACTATAATTTTACAAAACAAGGTACACTTGGCCAATATATAAGCAATAAATGGTTCACATTGGCTTTAACTCACCCACAATTCAAACTCCATGATTCCCTTGCATATTTAATGAGTAGTATGGACACAAGTAGAAACACAAAGTATTGGGCTGCAGAAATGTAGATATGCTTGAAATTGCAAAAAAAAAAAAAAAAAATGGAGTTGATAGTCAAAAAAAAGAACCTAAAAGGAGTGTTATGTTGAAATAAAATTTTCTTTTGTTGATAAAGATTTAGAGAGAAAGAAAAAGTCTTCCTCAAGAGAGAATGGTGACAAGAGAAGACTTACATTTATGCCAAGAAAAATAGTTCTCATACAGAACACACAGACTTATGTAAATTGGGACATTAAATGCTCTGCCGATATTTTATCTGATGTAAACAAATTGTTTTGAAATGTTCTTCATTAATAACACTGATTTGTCACATTCTCTACATGTCAAATGCACTGAAAAATCTTTCATTCGATATAGTTACAACAAAAACTGCCATATTCTAAAGATTTGAATAACTAATAAATGCTAGCTTTCCAAATACTAGTATTCTGTCAGGATTTGATTTTGAAATCTATTATATTTTCAAAATGTCTGCAGGTTCTAATATCTTGAGATGTGCAATGTATGCACACATAAATCGAAATGTTTTAGAAAAGAAACGCAAAACAAAAAATCAACAGTTAAAACTTTATTTTACAGATCTTCAAGTGTTAGACAAACTTTTCATTTGAGTACATGAAGAAAATGGTCAATGAGTTTCTAATTCTAAACTTAGTGGAATGATCTTTTATTGGTTTAAAGAGTCTGGATCATATACATTATCAATGGTTCTAAGCCAGGTTCATTTGGAGTTTCAAAGAATAATATCTCTGTCAATCAAAGATGTTTTTTATCAGAACAATCTAAACCAAAAGGAAGTTAGAGCAAAGTTCATGCAATTTGAATTCATTTCAACAAAGATCATGCCACATCGAAAATTATCCAACCATGATTTTTAGAACTTCAGCCCATTCATTTCAGTTACATAAAAATAAATTTTCCTATCGTTTGTATGAACATAAGGAAATGTTTCAAGAAAACCTTCCAACAAGTATCAAGCAGTTACATCTGGAAAGAAATGTTGATGGTCTAAATTGAGGAAGGAAAAAAAATAGAAAAAAGAACAGCATATGCAATTAAAAAAAATAAAACACAAAATACCCATAAATTAATTTGATTAAAATGGTGTGAAAATAAAAACTATGGACAATATTCCATCTTTGAAAATATAAATGCTCATTAAATGTGTAAAATCTTTTGATTTTTTTTCTTTTTTTAAATATCACAGCTGTTTCAGAAAACCAGGCTTTTTAAATTTAGTTAAAACCTTTTCCAGTAACTAAAACCAATTTCTAGAGGCATAAAAGCATTTAAACAATAAATATAATGTCTTAACAAAAAAATAAAAGCATCATTTTTGTTGTTTTCATTATTTCAAATGAATATAAGCAAAAAAAAAAAAAAAAAAAAAAAAAAAAAAAAAATGTAGTTTTGATGATATAATAATGTTAAATTTGCATTCAACTTGAAATGAGATGCTGGAATAATCAATAATAGTGAGAAATCATTTGATTACACAGATCTGACCTTGAACAATGTATAAAAAGCCCCTGGACCAAATCTGCACACAGTTTAAACAATATCATTTTAGAGTCCCCTCCTTGATTGATTCTAAATATTGTCGAATCTACATTTTTATTCCTGTTCACTAATAAATATTGTTTTCATAGAAAGAAAACATCAATTTCAGAAAAATGTATTTGGTTACTACAGATTTGTGATTCCATAAATATCTGCACAATGTTGGCAAATTGTTCTTGATTATATAATTTTCTTCCTTATTTTAAAATTAACTGAAATGATGAATATAATAAAACTATAGCATACGTAAGTTAAAACTGAGGACAACATTTATTTTCTAAGTGGTATCTGAGAATACTGTCTAAATTATGACATGCTTTGTAATAGAGAGTTTTGTCAAATTAATTTAATAATTTAATACAGATTTATAACACATTGATAATGATGACGTAACAAGTTTACATTTATTTACAAAATTCTATATCACCACAACGCATTTATTCTATTATGACTGATAAGCTACCTAAAAGACTATCAGTTGAGTAAAGGAAACTATAAGACTTATTGACATAAATACGCTTTAGTCATTTAATGTTTTTTTTGAAGGAGGGGACTCGTAGTATCACAAGAGGACAGCAATGCCAGCATCACAGCGACTTGTCCACATGGAAGGGCCAGAGGTCCATTTGGTAGTCTGAGGATTATAACATTCACATGAATAGAGTGTGGTTGGGGCGACATACTGACCAAGTGAATGATTTTCAGTATACCACCCTCCAAAAACATAAAGAATACCATCGATAGCAACAACACTGGCACCTGCCCGTGGTGAACACATTGGAGGTATACTTGTCCAAGTATCCTAAAACAGAAAACAAAAACAATTTTGACATTTCTAACATCAGGAATTCTTTTATAGAAATACTTAATGTAAATATTTCAAGACTAAATTCATAAGCTTTTTTCACTCATTCCAAAATTGAACATTCTGAAATTAACTTTGACATAAAAAAATAATAATGTTAATACTGGTTTCTTGAATTTTACTTCATTCATTTGTGCAACTGGCTTCTTCAGCTTTCTGTCAACATTTTCTAAACAATGAATGAATGACAAATTTGTAAAATTAAAAAAGTAGTAATTAAATTATAGACAAAATAACTGCAATACCAATAAAAAAAATTCTTTGTATATGAAACCTTAAAAAGCATAGCATTCGTAGAAAGACTTCACAGAAAATATCTAAAAATTTGTTTGTATATAATTAGCCCCAAGACAAGGCATAAAACTTTTTCAGATAGGAGTATACAAACTTTAATAGAAACTAATATGTATAAAGATATGGAACAAATATGCTACGATAAGCGTTCCACTGCCGAAGGATCCTTTCTGAATGAAACTCAAGTAGTAGCAGTAGTAGTACAGCAGTTGCAGTAACTGGAAAAGTAATTGTTTTATTAGCAATTCTATTGATGTTTTGCTTTTTAGCATTGAACACTGATATTAATTGTCATCTTTTTTCATGATGGTGTTTATACATACATTTCAAAAATATATTACTGAATTGTATATATCTATCTAAATATCATCATTCATATATATTTTATATATATATATATATATATATATATCTCAATAGCATCATTCACATATATATATATATCTCTCAATAGCATCAATCATTCATATATATATATATATCTCAAAAGCATCATTCATATATATATATATATATATATATATATATATATTCATCATTCATATATATATATATATATATATATATATCTCAGCATCATTCATATATATATATATATCTCAATAGCATATATAAATATATATATATATCTCAATAGCATCATTCATATATATATACCTCAATAGCATCATTCATATATATATACCTCAATAGCATCATTCATATATATATATACCTCAATAGCATCATTCATATATATATACCTCAATAGCATCATTCATATATATATACCTCAATAGCATCATTCATATATATATATATATATATACCTCAATAGCATCATTCATATATATATATATACATATATATATATATATATCTCAATAGCATCATTCATATATATATATATATATATATATATATCTCAATAGCATCATTCATATATATATATATACATATATATATATCCTAGCATCATTCATATATATATATATATATATATATATATATATATATACATATCTCAATAGCATCATTCATATATTTCGGATCGGGATTCCTTACTAAATTATCAAATAAGTAGGGAGGGAGGGAGGGAGGGGAGGGAAAAAAATAAAAATTTAAAAACGGAAAAAACGAAAAAAAAAAATAAAAAAAAAATGAAAAAATGTAAATGCAGTCAGCTAGAGCTGACGATACTCACATGGGCCAACAAGTGGGTAACTGCCTGCGTCGTCATGATGATGATGACTGAATATACAACTTTACCTTGTGTCCAAGCGTCGACCTGGTGGGGGGTAGGAATCATCGGCCAATCCTGGCCCCCACCAAGTACTGGGCTAGGGAGATATGCTTTCAATAAGATTTCAAAGAGGAGATAGAATGGCGAAAAAACAATTCCACTTTCAGACAATATATCAAGCAAAAAGATACAGTCACAACATCGTTGGGATACTGACGAGACACCCTCGCATCTAGTCAAAGACATTCAATCTTCCATTTTTCTAGTTTTTTTACTTTGTTAACATATCGGATCGGGATTCCTTACTAAATTATCAAATAAGTAGCATCACTGGGACAAAATGCCTTTCGGTAGGGAGGAGGGAGGAGGGTGAGGGAAAAAAATAAAAATTTAAAAACGGAAAAAACGAAAAAAAAAAAAAAAAAAAAAAAAAAAAAAAATGAAAAAAAATGTAAATGCAGTCAGCTAGAGCGAAACGATACTCACATGGGCCAACAAGTGGGTAACTGCCTGCGTCGTCATGATGATGATGACTGAATATACGGCTTTACCTTGTGTCCAAGCGTCGACCTGGTGGGGGGTAGGAATCATCGGCCAATCCTCGGCCCCCACCAAGTACTGGGCTAGGGAGATATGCTTTCAATAAGATTTCAAAAGAGGAGATAGAATGGCGAAAAAACAATTCCACTTTCAGACAATATATCAAGCAAAAAGATACAGTCACAACATCGTTAGGATACTGACGACACCCTCGCATCTAGTCAAAGACATTCAATCTTCCATTTTTCTAGTTTTTTACTTTGTTAACATATCGGATCGATTCCTTACTAAATTATCAAATAAGTAGCATCACTGGGACAAAATGCCTTTCGGTAGGGAGGGAGGGAGGGAGGTGAGGGAAAAAAAAAAAAAAATTTAAAAAACGGAAAAAACGAAAAAAAAAAATAAAAAAAAAAAAAAAAAAAAATGAAAATGTAAATGCAGTCAGCTAGAGCGAAACGATACTCACATGGGCCAACAAGTGGGTAACTGCCTCGCTGTCATGATGATGATGACTGAATATCGGCTTTACCTTGTGTCCAAGCGTCGACCTGGTGGGGGAGAATCATCGGCCAATATCTCAATAGCATCATTCATATATATATACATATATATATATATCAATAGCATCATTCATATATATATATATATATATATATATATCAATAACATCATTCATATATATATATATATATATATATATCAATAACATCATTCATATATATATATATATATATATATATATATATATATATATATATATATATATATATATATATATATATATATATATATATATATATATATCATATATATATATATATATACAATATATACATCATTCATATATACATATATATATATATATATATATATATATATATATATATAATAGCATCATTCATATATACATATATACATATATATGTAATAGCCTCATTCATATTTACATATATACATAATAGCATCATTCATATATATATATATATATATATATCTCAATAGCATCATTCATATATATACATATATATCTCAATAGCATCATTCATATATATACATATATATCTCAATAGCATCATTCATATATATACATATATATATATATATATGTATATAAATAGCATCATATATATATATATATATATATATATCAATAGCATCATTCATATATATATATATATATATATATATCAATAGCATCATTCATATATATATATATATCAATAGCATCATTCATATATATATATATATATATATCAATAGCATCATTCATATATATATATATATATATCAATAGCATCATTCATATATGTTATATATATATATCAATAGCATCATTCATATATATATATATATATATATATATATATATATATATATATCTCAATAGCATCATTCATATATATATATATATACACATATATATCGCAATAGCATCATTCATATATACATATATATATATATATATATATATATATATAGCATCATTCATATATATATATATATATATATATATATATATATAAATTAGTACATGTACTAGTACCTATGTGTTGGTGTGCAACTTAAGTTTTGCTGAATTACAGCTCGTCAAGTACAAAGTCTATGTAAACAAACGCCTCATGGGAGAAATGCTGCTATGTAGCCCCAAAATAAAATAAGACAAAAAGAGTAGTAAATGTGATGCAGAGGGGTTACATTTTTTAAAAAAAATAGAAAATGGTAACAATTATGATCTTGTGATGATGACTTTTAAATTAAGACTGAAAATTAAGTGTTGTTCAAAGAACTCCCGCATCCACTTCAACGTTAAGTCACTCAACTGTTCCAAACCAAAGTTGGTAGGAAGTTCACAACCCTGAACCTAAATAACAGTGATGTAGACACTTTTGCAGATCACATTAAAGAAGTGTTACTCACAACAGCTGAGGACGTTTTGGGTAAATGGCAAAGGAAAATCCAACTGTGAGTCATGAACAAAATCTTGGATTTGTGTGATACGAGGAGAGAATTGAGAGGAAAGAAGCACTCGAGTGACGAGGTCTATGCCCAATATCAGGAAGTGCACACAGTGATACGAGGAGAAAAATGCAAGCAGCTAAAGGGAAGTGTAAAACCATTGAGGAGGATATGCTTACTGACAATAACAAACAGGCTTACAATACTCTCAAATCAATCACTAAGACCAGCCAAGAGAGAGAATGGTTAATTGTTGACAGACAATGAGGAGGTTCTCTATCGATGGACACAATACTGTGATGTTTTATACAATTACCAGCTTCATCTAGATGTCTCTATATTGCAAAGTGACCAGTACTCCAGAGAAGAAGATGAGGTCAGTCCATCGATACTGAAAGGGGATGTTGCATTGGCAATAAAGAGCTTTCAACCTGGCAAGTCACTCTGAGTGGATAATATTCCCTCTGAATTAATAAAACATGGAGGTGAAGAAACAATCAAAGTCATTACGACACTATGCCAGAAGATTTGGGAACAAAAAAGTGGCCTAACGAATGGACTCAGTCATTGGTAATACCCCTGCCAAAGAAAGGAAGCCTCAGGCAGTGTCAAAATTATAGGACAATAAGCCTGATCAGTCATCCTAGTAAAGTCATGCGCTGTATCATTTTGAATAAAAATTAGAAAGCTACTACACAGAGAATTTAAATGCCTCAACTTGAAAATTATTGTAAATACTAATTTTAAAAAAAGTAGACTTCCTAGATATAACATTAGATTAAATGAATAATATATACCTACCTTACAAAAAACCCAATACTAATCCTTTGTATATACACCCTAAGTCTAATCCTCCTCCATCAATAATTAAGCATATACCTTAATCTATCAAAAAAAGAATAAACACAAATTCAGCAAATGA